TGGAGCCATGTACACGACATCACAGCTTTCCTATGCTTCTTAATGACCTGCAGTACAGCTGATTGAGAAGGAGGGAAGGCAGGCACGTGCAAGCCCAGCATGCCTACCGCTTCTGTTAGCTCTGTGGAGTCTGAGTGACAGCCAGGCAGGTGCGTCTGGCCCAGTTATAAAAATGTTTCTTTCTATTCAAATTGGCACTTTTATAAACTGTCACAAATATGACACTCTCCATACTCATAAAGCACTTCAGCAAGATTAAGTGCTTTAGGTGTCTGGAGTGTTTTTTTAAGATGGCAATCAAGTTTTTCATTCAAGTGCTTATACATTAGAATGCCACTGGACCCCTTTTATCTACACTGAGTGAGATATTTACTGTTTAACTAAACTCGGTGTGTAATGTTTCTTCTACTGACCAGTTAGTTGGGAGACCTTCTATTAGAAGCACGGCTCACAAATTGAAAATTTGGAAGAGACAAGGCACATGCCACCTCTCTAGATTTATCAATGGCAGGCACAATGTTATCTTAGTTGGCTTATGTTTAATAAAGATATGACCAGCTTTGTGATCAAGTCCGATGTGTATCTGTTTATTTTACTGCATGAGATTTCTTTTTTTTGTTACAATTTATGACATGGAACTACCAAAGCAATATCTTTATTTGGAAGCAAAGTATACCTAAGATCACACTGGTCTCTTCTTCAAACATACATCTTTCTTTAGCAAAATCGACCTGAAGAAAATAATAATAATAATAATTATTATTATTGCCATTTGTATAGCGCCAACAGATTCCATAGCGCTTGTGTAGTCTTGAAAGCTTGATGTCTACATCTATCTAATTTAATAAGCATATTACCCTAATCTTTATCCTGTATGTCTTAAGCAAGCACTGCTCCTGTGTATACCTACTTAAACAATAACCTGGCATTATTATGCAGAGCCACAATTTATTGCATGTGTGCTGGGGTTAACCTCTGCATGACAAAAGGTTGGGCAAATATTATACCATTACAGTTTAGACAGTGCATTAGATGTGAAGGGGTTAAGTATGAAATAATCTCAGCACACTGAATGTTTATGTCAGTTTGATTCACAGCCCAGTGATCACTACATGCATTCTATTCATTATAAAGACATCTGTTAATTACCATTGTGTGTAATGACAACCTCACCTCCCTCTGGTGGCTAGCAGAGTGTAAAACATTCAACACCATATTATCCCAGAAGAAAAGCAGTACAAGCAGTGTTGTATCGCCCCCTAATGTTTGCACACATAATAAGCTGTCACTGGACACTCAATTACCCGCATTTATCATGAACAATTGGTTCCCTGGACACTGTCCATCTCTGACTCGCACACCCCTTCCTGCCAACAGTGCTATTAATAAAAGAGAAATAGATATGTATACAGATAATGATCTTAAAAGTTTTGCTTGGAAAAATAAAAATGCCTACAATCAGTTTTTATAAACGTTAAAAAACTGTTTTTACAGACTCTTCTACAAACATAACAACCTTTGCAGATCATGCGTTTCACTGAGCAAGGAACAGTCTGTCCCTCATAGTGCTTATTATAGACCATGGCTGGTCAAAAAGTACATTTCCAGATGTTGTAGAACTTTAATTGCCATTATGCTTTCGCCAGCCTTCAATGTTTGCCCATTCCTGGTCCAAAGTAGCTGATTTACAAAAATTTCTACCTTTTGTAAGCCCTTTCCATTATTAGGCTCTCTTTTTACAATCTATGGGAAAGCCTATGAAGCCATCTCATGAATAAACATGCCACTACATGCTTCTATTACATTACGGAGTATTTGAATGCAGGTATAAGAAAAAGGGTGCTATTACTGATGAAAAATTAGAAATTGCATTTCATTTTGCAAAGCTTCTAAAACCCTTAACAACATGACTTTACAAAAGCCTAATCTAAAAGCGGAAATCCTTACTTTAACAATAAGTAAAACTTAAATACACAAGAAACAAGAAAGGTTGCACAATGCAGTCAGTCTCCCTATGTCCTAGAGACTAGCCACATATCTTGAAATATCTATAGCGATAGAGTGTAATTCAAGAAACCTGGTATACAAAACTATAAATGTAACTAGAGACCCGTAAACAGAAAAATAATAAAAATAATAAATATCAAATAAAGTATATACAGGTGTAACTCGGATTCCATGCCAACCAAGGGGGGTATGTATAGGGATATAATTCTGCCATCTAGTATCCTGTCTCAACCCTAATTATCAGCTTTATTATAATACACTATAAGGGTATAAGTATCAAATGGCTAAATCCCCAACGTTATAGCCCACTAGGAGATGTCAATAGTTAGTATAACAAGAGCTCAAGGTAGAGCTAATTAAGATAAGGAGGGAGATGGAAGATGAAATATAGTCAGTATTCAGTCTAAAAGTTAGACTGATATTTTAAAATTAAGCAAGCCTCTCTCCCTGTTAATCTAACAAGACAGGCATAGGAAATAGAAAGAAAGAAATAATAGAAATTACATTTTTATTTTTATTTTTGATTATTAATCTAGACATGAATACCACTTAAATGACCATATAAATATAGTGTCCCAAGATGTACATCTGTGATATATAGTGATGGGCATACTCCTTTACAGCTCTGTATTTATTAAATTTTTTGTCCATGCTCCAGGTGACCACTATGGAGTATCTATATTTATACACCTGGACATTTTCATAGGAGTAAGCCCTGCATACATTTAGTCTCCATTAGATATGTTAATATGTCTCATAATATAGGGAAGACTGTAGAATAAGAGGTATCACCTTAATTGACCACTTATCTCCGATGTGTCACCCGTTTAAATTACCACATATACTCAGTTTTGATTGACATCTTCAGCATTATATGGATTTTGATGTTGAATCATTATATTTATCTTTTATGTACATCTTGGATTCATAATGTTTATGGATACATAGAATGCAGATGATGTATCTCTGAGAAAATTTAAGAACTTACTACTATCCTTTGGACACTCTCTTTTGTGAGATCCGGGTGCTGTATATAGTATAGACTAAGGTGACGTATTATTGGGGGTACCCCGGGATGTCTATAAATAGGCAGTATGCCCTTATATAAAAAAAAATTTTACTCCTTCGGATTATCTTTATTTGATGACCTCCAATTTTAATTTTTAATTTTCAACTCTTAATTTTCTTTTCTGTGCGCCCCTTTGCCTTTCGCGCACCCGCCCACCTGATTGTGATGGGCTGGGTAATCCTTAGTTGCAATAGGGGATCGCCGTACATTTTACATACCTAGTCACGCCCACGACGTGTTCCAGCTCGCTTTCCGTCCTGCCGGTCAGACCACGTGACCCATAGGATATCGGGTCACGTGTCCGGCATTAAGCCCCACCTCCATGTATACCTCGTGGTTTACCACGACACGGCCGACAGGCTACACATCAGGGAGATTAAACACAGCTGGTCCTCCACACCTCTAGATCCTATTGGTCCAAGGTATTCATGCCTCCTGGCATATTTTTTATATTTAAGAGACTCCTAACCAGTTTCTTGTTGGCCCCTGACGAAGGTGCTCCTCTTTAGCACCGAAACGTACGTCAGGCATTTTTCTTCTCATATTATGCATATGAGCACTGGGCACTGGTGGCTGTAGCACCATGATTATTACTTAATACTTATTTCTTTCTTTCTATTTCCTATGCCTGTCTAGTTAGATTTACAGGGAGAGAGGCTTGCTTAATTTTAAAATATCAGTCTAACTTTTAGACTGAATACTGACTATATTTCATCTTCCATCTCCCTCCTTATCTTAATTAGCTCTACCTTGAGCTCTTGTTATACTAACTATTGACATCTCCTAGTGGGCTATAACGTTGGGGATTTAGCCATTTGATACTTATACCCTTATAGTGTATTATAATAAAGCTGATAATTAGGGTTGAAACAGGATACTAGATGGCAGAATTATATCCCTATACATACCCCCCTTGGTTGGCATGGAATCCGAGTTACACCTGTATATACTTTATTTGATATTTATTATTTTTATTATTTTTCTGTTTACGGGTCTCTAGTTACATTTATAGTTTTGTATACCAGGTTTCTTGGATTACACTCTATCGCTATAGATATTTCCAGATATGTGGCTAGTCTCTAGGACATAGGGAGACTGACTGCATTGTGCAACCTTTCTTGTTCCTTGTTTACTTGGGGTTAAGCCCCTTTTGGGATTTCTGGAGTCCCATACCGGTACACTAGTTTCTGTGTGACATCTGTCACTACACCCTGGGTCTATTCCCTGGGGGAGGTTTGTACGGGTGTACACACAGAGACGCTGAACTGTGTGTTCAAACTTAAATACACACACTTTTTGAAACCCTCTCTTTGCTCGTGGAATTAGTGGCAGTAGGTTCAATTCACTTAAGGTTGGGAGTAGAGCTGAATTAAACACTAGAACCGTAAGAGTTGTTTCCGATAATAGAAAACATTTCCATTCTACTTACTCTGAGATCTTGTGGTGCAATGGGCTTGCAGTTTGCGGTGTACACATTTTATTCAGAATTCTCACTCTATATTGTGGCAACATCAGGATCTTGGGAACTCTCACCTGGACACATGAATTGCACTATAACTGGTACACTATTGAAACTTGAGTTTTGTCTCTTTCTCAAGTGAGACAATTACTAAAATATAGTCTTGAGCACTGTATACAAAAAACACTGTAGATGGGTCAGTAGTGGCTCATTCACAACCCGGACAAGATTAATGTCCTGCCTGTAGGTTTGGAATTCTGGCTAAAGGTGTCTACTTTGCCTAATTGTAACAAGGTTTGCCTAACTATGTCAGAGTTGTAAAACTTCATGGTTTTTCTTGATGGTTGCTTAAACATGCACAGTCTTCACCCTTTGTCACCCTCGGGGCACGGGAGACCCAGGTCATGCCTTTATCCCAATGTGTTTGTGAAAGTCCTGCCAGTACAGAACATGGCAGCTAGAATACTAAGCCAAAGTAAATGGTGCAAACCTATTTACACTACCTTTCCGTGATCTACGCTGACTTATAGATAACGTTGGAATACAGAGCAAGATGACACTGATTGCATATAATGCACAGCAAGACATTTCATTTTTTATAAGATGGGCGTATCTGCTTCTAGCGATGCTCTTAGAATGTAGGGTCAACTCGGCTTTTTGCACCTTGGATTCTTCACCCCACTCTTGATGGATGGACCTTATTATTTGCCATTTACCATCTGAACAGCTCTCAGCTGCAAAGTGTCTGCCATGATTTTCAGCTTGCTCAGGGTTATATTTAACACAGACTTTTGTCTTTCGACCTTTGCCAAGGTTTGTGTTCTTTTTCTGTGGGCAAGACTACGGACAGAAAAGAAAAACTAATAACAAAGAATTTTTTTTTTATTGTATATATTATAAATATTTTGATATTTGATGGGGCTTTTCATTCTGCTATACTAAAGAAACACATCCCTGTTGTTATGTGGGCTATACAGTATAAACAAACTCCGTCTTCACACCTGGAGCAGCAGGCTATGATGGGAACCCACATGTGATGTTGCTTCTGCACCAGTTATAAACCATGTGCTTGGTTTAACAGAAAATGCAGTGATTTCACTCTCCACAATATTATTATTTAAAGCATCTTGATGTAATTTACCACCTGCATGAATCAATCTCATTAAACGTTCCCTACCTGTATGTGAACCACACATCCAACAGTATTTGTACCTTGAGAAAGCACTACACCCAGTGGTATTTTATGTGACTGCTCATTCCATTCGTAATAAACAAACTCCCCACTGTTTTCAGAGATTTGTGTGAACTCTTCCTTGAATTACATCAACCCACATGATTTCATACTAATTGTATTTGTTGCCTGTTAATTAAAGGAGATAAAAAAATAGACTAATTAAGTACCAAATATACTGAATTGTCCCACATTTCTGCAATTATATATAATATATATATGTGTATATATACATATACAGTCATGGCAAAAAGAAAGTACACCTGCTGTGAATTCTCTGAATTTACATATCAGGACATAATAAAGGGAATCAACACAGTAAAGGAGGAGACTATATTTAAAAGAAGATAAACTACCACAACAAGAGGACATAGTCTTAAATTAGAGGGACAAAGGTTTAAAAATAATATCAGGAAGTATTACTTTACTGAGAGGGTAGTGGATGCATGGAATAGCCTTCCAGCTGAAGTGGTAGAGGTTAACACAGTAAAGGAGTTTAAGCATGCGTGGGATAGGCATAAGGCTATCCTAACTATAAGATAAGACTAGGGACTAATGAAAGTATTTAGAAAATTGGGCAGACTAGACGGGCCGAATGGTTCTTATCTGCAGTCACATTCTATGTTTCTATGTTTCTATAATAACAATCATCTGTTGCTTAGCAGGTCTTAAAATAAGGTAAATACAACCTCAGATGTCATATTACACTGCGTCATGATTTGTTTAACAAAAATAAAGCCAAAATGGAGAAGCCATGTACATTTAAGAGAAATTGAAGCGCTTAAAAGAAAACCAGAACATATTTTATGTAATGGTGTAATCTCCAGGGAAGTGATTGCAACTTGAGTGCAAACATATTCATAGATACAATATTATTAAACCTGAAATATTCTTATCTGCACAATTCTGACAATTTACAACCGTTTCTATGAATTAATTACTGCAAATATGGCTGCAACAGGTGATTGCACAACAAGCTAATCACAAATTATGTGTGACATCTGACTACGTCTTGTTTGCACTTTAGAATGGATGAAAGTGCCCCAACATGAAGAGGCATAAGTGATCTTCAATGATAGACAGGTATACAGGTGGATTTTGTATGTGTTTTTATTGCATTTGAGTACCTTCCTGAAGGCAACCTCCAGGGATGGCCTAATTTAGGTACTATACTGTCTATTATAATTTAATAAAACACTACTATAATTTCTCTACGGTGAACAAGCAAAGGTTCACTAACAGACAATAAAGTAAAACTGCATTTCAACCTCTGTTATTGTAGCAACCTTAGCATACATCTGTCTACCATATCTAAATTAGAAATAATAATTGTGAAAAGGAAATTTAATATACCCCCTATTTTTTAATGCTTAAAAAAAAAAAAAAATATATATATATATATATAAAAACTCTCACACCAGGACGAAACTTGTATGCCATAAACCTCTGCACATTATGCCCAAGAGCAAATTGATTATTACTTAGGATGACTGCAACTGCTCTCTAATCTGCAATACCAGAGATACAATCTGCTTGCACATAGCCCATTCACTGTTTAGTAAACCGTGCAGTGTTGAACTGTTGGTATGGCTGCAGTGCACACATTTATGGTCCTTGGCTTGGCTCTCTATCTTGGAAAGAAAGAGAGCTCAGTTGTGCAAGCGGTGTTCTAACACTGCCCGCAAAGCTTGAATAATATTGACATAGCATAGAAACAAAGTTTCTGGATTGATGATTGACCGGAGCTGGAAAGATATTTCTAAAGTGTCTGTGTTGGTAGTTGAAACACTGCACTAACAGAGTCCTTGCACTATAACCATTTCATGATGCTTTTAAGAACCCTTTTAACATTCAGAAATTTAATGGGATACTATAGGCATCAAAACAACTTTACCTTAATGAAACAGTTTGGGTGTATATATCATGCACTCCTGCAGTCTCATTGCTCAATTCTCTGCCATTTAGGAGTTAAATCACTTTCATTTCTATTTATGCAGCCCTAGCCACACCTACCCTGTATATGACTGAAACATCTTGCATGAAAAAATGGTTAGTTTTCAATCAGTTGTTAACTTGCTTTAGAAGTTTATGTATCCTGATTTATTAATTGAACTTTGATCACACACATGAGGCTCTTGCAGGCTCTATAGGGTTATTAACAGAACAGAAGACAAGAAATTCTAGATTAAAGAGACTGTGCAATACTGAAACCTAGCATTTCAGGACATGTTTAAGAAGTCTGTGCAAGTCACATGCAGGGAGGTGTGACTAGGCCTGTATAATCACTGTGATTTAACTCCTAAATGGCAGATAAGTGTGCAGTGAGACTTTAGGGGCATGACCTATACACCGAAAAAGGCTTCAATAAGCTTACTTTATTTTAATGCCTAGAGTGTCCCTTTAAATTTTAGTAAATGCATGTGCTATGTAAAAAAACCAGGGGCGTTCCTGACCATCATGGTGGAGAGACATGTTCTGTATGAGCTCCCACACAAGCCTGATCTTAAAAGCTTACTACAGCCTGCAAAAGCGAGAATTCGGGGGGCATCACCTACTCACCTGATCCTTACATTGGAGGACATGCACTGGGAATACAGGCAAACTAAACAAGGCGCCCCTACCGCTGGTTGGGCTGTGCGGCCTGGTGCACATGGGGCGGGAGGCGGTCGCTCTCCTGGCTCGGGAATGTGCTGGAGTGATCGGCAATCTACATAAGCCCCGTAACCCCCCCACTTGGACCAGCGGGGGGTGATCCCAGTCCACCCAAAGGAGGTAACCCTGATACTGCAGGAGTGTGGGGTGGAAAAACCCTGGAGGAGAGCTGGTGCAGTGACTTACCTAAAATGGTGGACGCAGTACGTGTCCATTGCCCCACTGACAAACACATTGATATCCTGGCAAAACTGGACAAACTATTTGATGCCTTCTGGCACAATCTGGAGCACAGGCTGTACCAACCGGCCCCACCACAGAAGAGTGATGATGCCTCACTCCGAAGTTCCCCTCTATCCCACCATCCAGAAGCTCTGCCTTTGGCTATTCAGCAGGCCCCAAGATGGCGGCTCAGTGCTTATGCAGCAACACGGAGACAGGCTCGGTTCCAGTCCGTGGCTGAAGCTGGAGACGGCATCGAAAGGCCTTGGAGAATCCGGATCCTGACACATACATGCATCACTCTGCCTGACGGACCCCGAGGCTTGCGGTGCCCCTCTCTGGGGTGGGATCCTGCTCAGCCCCTGGACGGTATTGGATAACCTGGCCCATGGACTGGACGGCACAGCACATGGTCACCCACTCTCTCCATCTATACTAAGATTGCTTGAGATGTTCTTTTTTCCACTATTGCTTTGCCCCCACCTCACACAGCTCCTTTCTTTTATCTTCATACTGCTGAGGGAGCCTTCTGGGTTTATCATTCTAACCTGCATATATATGTTCTGTCTATGCATGCAGAGCTGGTATGTATGCTATACTCTTGCTTTACTCATGCATATCTAGCTTAGTTACTTTAACACAGCTAATACATTTCTGCCAAGCCTGCTTTAAAAAAAAAAAAAGTGCTATTTTCTCTGCCATGACAAAGATTGTTACTAAATTGCTTGCTTCTGATGTTGCGAACCTGTAAGTAATCTTACGCACAACTAAAATAAAGAATATAAAAAAAAATACCATGTTTACAAATAAAAGATAAATGTTTTGAGAACATGACTCCTTATCAATAGGATGTCAGAAAAAAACACTGCAATACCAAGACCAACTGCAAATGTATATATATATATATAAAAAAAAAATCCACAAGATGGCTCTGTATATGCCCTTTCATTGGCTGTGCATATATGTGTGTTCTACACATGGTTATCAGGAGTTCTGTGACAGGAGCGGTCCATGTCTACTGTGTGGGATCAGTGCTAGAAAACCTAACTGGAGGTATAACCCAGAAGGTTATGTGTAAGTGGTACCTGGAGCATATAAATTGTGCATAGAACCAGTGGTGTATCCTGGTTTTGTGCTGCCCTAGGCACACACTCACTGACACACAGTCAGACACACACATACACACTAACAGACACAGTCAGACACACACTAACAGAAACACACAGTAAGACACACACTAACAGACACACACTCACACAGTCAGACACACACACACTAACAAAACACACACACATTAACAGACACACACTCATTCACTCATATTAACACTTTTTTTATTTTTTTTTATTTACCCCCCCACCCCCCAACCTCCTTACTTTTGGGAGTGCTGGGGGGGGGGGTTCATTACCTCCCTGGTGGTCCAGTGGTTGCCGGCTGGGCTGGGCAGGCGGCTGGCGAGGGAGCTCTTCTCCTGAGCGGTCTGCTCAGCTCCCTCGCGCGCCGCAAAGTGAGGCTGGGAGCCTGAAGATGACGTCATCTTCCGGCTCCCAGCCTCACTCTGCGGCGCGCGAGGGAGCTGAGCGGACAGCTCAGAGGAAGAGCTCCTTCGCCAGCCGCCCGCCCAGCGCCGCCCGCCAGCCCAGCGCCTGACCGGTCAGTTAGCCTTGTTTGCCTCGCGACTAAAACGCCCCTGCATAGAACTACTACTCAGGATCAACTTTTAAAATTACTAACAGCAGATTATATTTTTTGACATACCTTTTCTGTTCAAGGTGTGTGGCCTAAGTGAGTGGTGGAAGGGGGTGCACAGAGCACCACCATCTTGCCAGTCAATCTTTGTAGTGTAAAAACAAAGAGAACGTTACCTGCGCTCTGGCCTAAATCCCCATGTACATTTAAACAAAATGGAGGCTCTTTAGTTTTATTCCAATGGCCATTTGAATATATAAGCTCACCTGCCACGTCAAGGCAAGCCTGAATAGGTGAGTTAATACACTAGCCATTAGATATGCTGATATCAGCCAAGAATCTCCAGTAAGACAGGAAGGGGTATTTTATAAACCCTTTTCACACACACACACACATATATATATATATATATATATATATATATATATATATATATATGTGTGTGTGAAAAGGGTTTATAATGGCTATTATTATTTTTTTATTATTATTTTTACACTATTCTTCACATGCTCTTGCATAAGTATGGAAACTTAAGAGGGATGTAAGGAACCACAATTGGTGTGAACTGGCTAACAAAGAAATTAGTTAAGGTAAGGCTGCTTTTGCACACAATGCAAATGCTCTTACTCTCTCTAACACTGTGGCACAGGGCCGCCATCAGGGGGTGACAACCGTGACAGTTGTCACGGGCCCGGCGGCCCTGGGGGGCCCGGACTGCTCTGGCAGTCCTGGGCCCCACTTTCCCTTTCTGCACACATAGATAGCGAATATCACTATCTATGTGTGCAGCCGCGGGCCCCCGGCTCCCTGTTACCGCAGAGGGGGCCCAGCCAGGCAGCACACAGCTTCTCCTCCTCTCTGCTCTCTTCTCATAACTCTCGCGAGACCCGCGGAGCGTTGCCATGGTAACCGGGTATCGCGAGAGTTATTAGAAGAGAGGAGGAGAAGCTGCTCCTGTGCTGCCTGGGCCCCCTCTGCGGTAACAGGGACCCGGGGGGCCCCCCACCGGACCACCAGGGATGGAATCTCCCCCCTCCCTGGACACAGGTAAGCAGGGAGGGGGGAGAAACATTGAATTAAATTAATAAAAAATTAATGTTAAAATGCCCCTTCCTCCCCCTCACCCCAGATCACACACTAACAACACACACTGCATACACTAACACACACACACACACACACTGCATACACTAACACACACATACACTGCATACACTAACACACACACACACTGCATACACTAACACACACATACACTGCATTCACTAACACACACACACACTGCATACAATAACACAACATACACTGCATACACTAACACCCACACACACTGCATACAATAACACACACATACACTGCATACACTAACACACACATACACTGCATACACTAACACAACACACACACTGCATACAATAACACACACACACACTGCAATAACACACACATACACTGCATTCACTAACACACACATACACTGCATTCACTAACACAACACACACTGCAACACAACACACACATTGCATACAATAACACACACACTGCATTCACTAACACAACACACACTGCATACACTAACACACACACTGCATACAATAACACAACACACACACTGCATACAATAACACACACACACACTGCATTCACTAACACAACACACACACACACTGCATACACTAACACAACACACACACTGCATACACTGACGCACACACACACACACACTGCATACACTAACACAACACACACACACTGCATACACTAACACACACACTGCATACACTAACACACACACACACACTGCATACACTAACACACACACACCGCATACACTAACACACACACACTGCATACACTAACACACACACTGCATACACTAACGCAACACATACTGCATCCGCTACACTAACACACACTCTGCATCCGCTACACACTAACACACTCTCTGCATTCACTACACATTAACACTGCATTCACTACACTAACACACACTCTGCATCCGCTACATACTAACACACTCTCTGCATTCACTACAAACTTACACACACTATGCATTCACTGCACTAACACACACACACTACATTCATTACACTGACGCACTCTGCATTCACTACACACTAACATACACTCTGCATTCATTACACACTAACACACACTCTGCATTCACTAAACTATGCACACACTCTGCGTTCACTATACTGACACACACTCTGCATTCACTACACTAACATACACTCTGCATTAGCTGTACACACAGCATCCACTACACAAACATCCTGTATTCACAGTACACACACTACATCCACCACAAATTGAAACACTCTGCATTCACTATACACAGACACTGCGTCTGATACACACACTACAGACACTGCGTCTGATACACACACTACAGACACTGCATCCACTAAACACATTTCATCTAGTACATACAAACACTACATCCACTACACAAACACACACTACATCACTGTACACACACTACATCCACTACTCAAAAACACTCTGCGTTCACTATACACACTGCATCCGCTACACAAACACACACCCTGCATTCATTGCACAAACAGTATCTAATACACACAAACACTACATCCATTACACACATTCTAATTCACTTCCACTATACACACACCACATTCAGTCCTGCATCATTGTGAGCGGACTAGGTAGGGCGTGGGCGGGCCCGCGAGGAGTGGGGGGCCCAGACCTTGTGCTTTGTCATGGGCCCCAAATTTTCTGATGGCGGCCCTGCTCCCACCTCCTGGACAGCATCCATTTTACATTCATTGTGAAGCTGCATTCTTAGTGAGCTGTCCAGGAGGTGGGAGGGTCTGGGAGGGAGGGTCTGCTGCTGATTGGCTGGAATGTGTCTGCTGGGTGTGAACCGTTCGGTGAACCGTTCGGGACATCACTAAATATCAATAATAAGATTCAGTTCTACACAAAAGGTTAATATTAAAGATGGCATTAATTGGCTTAGATGATAAATCTTGTTCTTGGATAAAGCATTGCTTAAATGCTTACAGAAAGTGGTTGTAAATACAAGGGACCTGGTAATACAGTCTGAACATGGTATAGCTTCTTTCATAAAGGGTTTAGATAAAAATGGGCAGGCAAGTGGCAAGTGAAACTAAATACAGATAAATGCAAAGTCTTTCATTTTGGAATAAGCAACCCACAGGCAACTTATATATGAAATGGGTTGAGTTAGAGATAACATTAAATTAAAAGATCTTGAGAACAATTATAGGTAACAAACTAGGCTGCAGTATGCAATGCTGGTCTACCATTGCAAGGTCTACTAAGTATCAGGATAAAAAGAGGATCTTTGGCAAGATGCAAGGCAGCAACCTACTAAAGGCACAGTGGAAAAGATGGAAAACTGTATTGCAGGACCTTGGCATGGCTGGGCTTAATTCTTAGGATACAAGTCCGAAGTATCAAAACTTAGTTTATCATCATTTATGCCAGGAAAAGAAACACTAGAGCCAGAGATGATAGCCTCTAATTATGGCAAGTTAAACTCAAATACAATAACGTAGCCAGGCCCTGCTACGTTATTGTATTTGAGAACAAAGATTAACCCCTTCATGACCGGAATGTTTTGGCGATTATGTACGTTGAGGACCAGGGCTGTTTTAACACTTTTGTGGTGTTTGTGTTTAGCTGTAATTTTCCTCTCTCTCGTTTA